AAAGCAATTTAAGGAAGGAAGGGTTTCTTTGGGTTTACCGTTTGAGGGCATAGGTCATCATGGCAGGGAAGACATGGTGGCAGGAATTCCACCACCAACTGGTCACAGTGCCTTCACAGTGAAGAGGCAGAGAGATGAATGCTGGTGTCCTGCTCATTTTTATCTTTTTATTCAGTCCAGGACCCCAAGCCATAGAATGGTACCCACATTCTATGTGTGGGAGTCTTCCTTTCTCACTGTGGTGGGAAGAAGCATCAAGAATGATAGAATCAATAGACCTGGAGCAAAATCCTCTGAAACCTACTGGCCTTAGATCTTGGTCAAGGCATTATCTCCAATTTCTCAATCTAATAGTGTAGATTAAACACCTACCACTAAGGGTTGCTGTAAAAACCAAATAAGCCTGTGTTCACATAAACAGATATAGACCCATTTAGCCTGAGAAAAATATAAAACTATAAAATATATAGTACTAGCATTTTCAGAAAGATAATACCTCCTTAGTTATTCTTTATTAAAGCATTGTACCGACTATCCCTTTCTTTGAAAGGCCTTTAAAAGCAGTAAGGAAATAGGAATTCTCTTCTTCCTACTCTAAAGGTGGCATCTTAGGAGTAACCTGCTGAAACCTGCTGAGTTTTTAGGCCTGAAGACTGGAAATTTAATGTTACTCATTGCAATAGCACTGTCTTTATGCACAATCTCTGTTACAGAGAAGAAAAGTTAGATTAGTCTTGTCATATTTCTTAATGAGTCTTCCCAACATTAAGAACTCTACATTTGATATAGGAAAAAATGAGAGCCTTCAAGTACAATCAAGCTGGCCTTATTCATAAAGGAAAACTGATCAATCTTTGAAGGCATTTGAAATTGTGATTACTGCCTCTGACAATGCCAGTTGTCAAAAATTCTTTGGATCCCCAGTTAGTCAAAAAACAGCACAAATCATTTAAAATAACATGTGGAATGGGCCAAAGAATAAGGAACTCTTAGAAATCCAACAGATGTCTGAAAGCATAGACTGCTAAGACTCTGAGGTTTTGGAATGCCAGGGCTTTCCTTCCACCGCTAAGGAAGTAAGCACAGGAGAAATACCAAGCTCCATGTCAAATTTCCTTTTACTCCTTAGACATTCATTTCACTGTTACAATTTCCCCAGGATTTTTTTTTCTTTTCAGTAGGTTCATTTGTCTTGTAAAACTGGAAATAGCCACGATTCTTGTCTGACATAATACTAGTAGAAAAGAGTAGTCACACACATTCTCCCAGTTACCTGATTAAACCAAAGACAATGCTGCCTTCAAACAGAAATTCATACTTAGAATCAGATGGTTTCATATTTCTCCTGTTGAAAGAAAGAGCCCCCCATGGAACTATCAAAATTACACAAAAGTTTCTAGTGGTAATTACTGACTTCTTCCCTGTGGATCTTCATGATGACACCACAAAGACTCTGAAATCAACAGTACCACATAACAGGAAATCAGCTCTGGAAAGTAATAAGCAGGAACTTGAAACCATTCCTTGCTTCCTGGACCAACCAAACAGCAAATGAGTGCTTTTATGCAAATTTAATCCTAAATTTGTGACTACTTTTTCCCAGGAAGTTCACTGACTTCTATAACTGTGATGGTTAATCTTGGTTGTCAACTTGACTGGCTCTGGACTCAACTAAGAGGTATACCACTGGGCATGCCTATAAGGGATTTTCTTAAACAGGTTATCTGAATTGAGATGACCTATCCTAAATATAGGCAGTACCTTCTGGTGTCAGCCAGAGAGGAGGGCCAAAGGAAAAGCTTTGCTTTTAGCCTCATTGCCTTCACAGCTCCCTGGGGAGTTTACTCACGTGCTGGTGAGTTTATCTACCCTGTTTGAGTACATCTACCCAACTGCTGCCACCGCTGCTGCTGCTGCTGCTGCTGCTGCTACTGCATTTCTTCACTGATGTCCAAACTCAGTGTTTTCAGGCTTCCAACAAGAACTGAAGGCCAGTGGCTCTCCAGAATCTTCTAGGCCTTCAGCACCAGGTTAGGCCTGCTCAGATATCCAGCCTCAAGGACTGAGCTGCTACTGGATTTTCAGTCTCTTCAGGGTGAAAAAAAGCTGTTGTCGCACTACTCGGACCATATCATATCGTGTAAGCCAATCTAACAAATCCCCTTTTAATATATACATTCATTCTATCACATTTATTCCTCTAGAGAACCTTGAGTAATATAATGACTAATATTGGAAATACTTGGGAAAATTCCAGAAGTCACTCTGTGGATAGCTTTTTTTAAATTTTTAAAAAATATTTTATTTATGATTTTTATTTTATGTGTATGAGTGTATTGCCTGCATGTATGTGAGTGCACCCATGTCATGCAATGCCACGGAGGTCAGAAGAGGGCTTCGGATTACCCTGGAACTGGAGTTAAGGACGATTCCTAGCTGCCATGTGGGTGCTGGGAATTGAACCTGGGTCCTCTGCAAGAGCAGTCAGTGTTCTTAACTGTTGAGCCATCTCTCCAGCCCCATAACTTTTTTTAATTGATAAATATCTATGCCATACAGAAATTAAGCCACTTTGTGTACATTATATTAGCTAGATATAATTATTCCCCTTAAGTTGCTCTTTTGAAGCTTGCTCTCCAATGTTTGAGGGAAATATTAGCACTAGAAACTTCAAGTATGTAAAATCAATTCTTAGAAATTTAGGTGGATGGTGAGTTGAAAATTAGAAAATATCTATTCAAATGATCAAAAGATGAAATGATATTATGTTGAATTTTTAAAAATATTTAGTGCTTAGAACAAGCACAATGATGTCAGGATTCTGCTCTAGTCAAGACTATAGAAATACTGTGATACCACAGCAAAGAGAATATGTCAAAGTACATTAGTTCTTAAGCACAAGCCAAGAAGAAAACCTCACACATCACAAGAAGTAATATCACAATAAGATATTTAGGTTACAGAAGAACTAAATGCCTTTAAATACCTGCAAAGCAACCAGAAAGGAACATCTTAATTGAATCTAAGAAAAGTACCAACATATGAAAATACATTAAAAATAGACTTTTCTTTAAAAACCTGAGGCTGGCTTGGTGAGATGGCTCAGCAGCAAGAGGTAAGGTGGCAAAAGCACTTGTCACCAAGCCTGACAATCTGAGTTCAATCCCCAGCACCCACATGATAGGAGAGAATGGACTCCTGAAAGTTGTCCTCTGACCTCCACAGTACTGTGGCATGGGTGCATGCATATGCATACACATGCATGCACACACACACACACACAAATAAATGTAATAAAAATGTGGTTTTACCATGTTAACCTCAAAAGTTGGGAAAATATTGGGAGAAGAATTTTATAAAATAGGAAAATTAAATTCAAGAAACTTAGGGATACTGAATAAGCCTTGAACAAAAGTTGGGGAGCTTATAAGAATCATAACAATAAACCACAAAGAGAAGCAGTAAGTTTTATGCCCATAAGGCCTGTATCCAATTTTCTTTTAACAGGAAGTAGGACAGAAAGCATGGATAACTCTGAAAGCCATGTTTTATAAAGAATTACCTATCAAGGGCTAGAGAGATGGCTTAGCAGTTAAGAGCACTGGCTGCTCCTGAAGAGGACTTAGGTTCTCACATGGATTCCCAGCACCCACATGGCAACTAACAACTGACTGTAGCTCAGGTTCCAGGGGAATCTAATGAAGCCCTCTTCTGACCTCCTCTGGCATTGCACAGACAGGTACACTTACATACATGCAGGAAATACCCTCAAACACAATAAAATAAAAATAATACATGAATATTTTTTGAAAAGAAGAATAGCTTATCAGTAGTGATTAAGCTACTGCAAACTTTCAGATGAGAAAAGTTAAAACTGTTCTAAGCAGTGGCAATCAGAAATGAAAGAGTTCAGAAACAGAGCTCATAGTAACTGATTTATTTGACTCTTAGAATACAGTATTTAGCAGAACTTACTGGGTCAGTCTAGTCATTTGTGCACTAACGGCAGAAAACACACAGTGCTAACTGTATGTCCAGGCAATGTTCTTGATAATTCATAGTTCATCCCAACAACACTATATAGTACATATAATTAATAACCATTACTTATTTTAAAAGATAGGCAACTAAGGCATGCATCAGTTAAATTGCTCTGCCAAGAAATTAAAACCAAACAAAAAACTAGCAAGATTTTAGATTTAAAAAATTGGTTCCAAGTGGTGAATCCTAACCTAAAATGTTTACAGCCATAAAGGAAAAACGAGGACCGAGGAAGGCAAGCAGGAGCAGCATGCAGTACTGTCAAAAGCCGGTCTGGAGAGAGGTTCCGGAGGAAGACTACAGCAGATTGGGAATCTATCAGAATCATACGAAGTGTCTGTTTAAATATCTTTTAATCCACACTAACTCCAAATCCCTAAAAACAGGACTAAAAAATGCACCTTCGTTCATATATATGTATATATGTGTTATTGTCATTATTGTTCTTCTTATTATTATTATTTTGGAAAAACAACAAAACGCCCGCATTCTGGGTTGGCACCAGGTCTGGAAACTTCGGTGGTAAGTCTCCTACTTTAGCTTTCCAGCTGACGCTGTAAATTAATTTCCCAGAAATGGAGAGAGGGACCCTTGCACCAGGTAAAGTGCTATGCATTCAGAGTCCACGTCGTTTATGGCTCTAGTTTTTACTACTCGGGCCCTCGGGGAAACAGGACACACAGGCAACTGAATAAGGACCGCGGTGTCCACTACGCGCTGGCCGAACAGCAGGCCTTCCAACCTTGTCCAGTACCACGAGCAGAAAGAAGCCCTTCCTGACCATAAAGCCGACTGGACTAGGAAGCCGCGTCCCCGGCTCCGTTATCCGGCTAACGGATGCCGACAGGCTGAAAGCCTTCTAAGAAAGGTCCAGCTGGGGCCTGCCGGCGCCGAGGCCAGGCAGCCTGCTCTGCACGCCAGCCAGCTCCGCACCTACTCGCCCCAGGTCCCTCGCGTACCTGAGGGTCCTCTAGTCAGGTTGATCTCCTCCTCTGTGACTAAATAATCCACCCTTCCGTTCATGTTTTCCTTCTCTCCGGGCTTCCGGCCAGGGTCAGCGGGCACAGGTGAAGGTGAATCAAGCTCCGCGCCGCGTCCGGAGCATAGCTTTTTCGGTTTCCTCAGCTCCCGGACCGGAAGAGGAAACCGCGGGGCCTGGGAGCGCTGGATGCTGGGAGTTGTGGTTCTGCGCTCTGGAGGGTTCCGTTATCTCGTCCGAGATTCTGAAGTGAAGCAGGAGCAAGGTACCATCCTAGGAAAGCAGGTGCGAAGGTGGGGACAGAGAGGAGGGAGCACAAACGTAAGTAGATGGATGTTGTTGAGATTAAATTTCAAATGGAATCTCCACAATGTAGACAGGAGAAACAGGGAGGGTTTTATTATCTGTGAGCCTCAAACCACTCTTGGAAAGGCATGCCGCACAGACAACCTGCTAATGAGATTGCACAGTTGGACAGAAAATTGTACAGTCCATTACATACATGTCCCGTCTAAGAGAACTTGATAGCACAGTGTCGTGTTCATTTGTTGGCAATTTACTCTGTTAGTTAATTGAGTTTATTCAAAGCTAAATAAAATTCCTCTGTCAAGAAAGTACTTACTGCTTAGAGCAAGGGACCTAGGCTAACATCCATAATGACAGGGGCACCATCTTCCCTGATACTGACACTCCAAAGAGTTTTTTCTCAGAACTCTAAGAAAAAGATTTCCTGGGGCTGGAGAGATTGCTCAGCAGTTAAGAGCACTGACTGCCCTTTCAAAGGACTGGGGTTTGATTCCCAGCACCCATATGGAAGCTAACAACCGTCTGTGGCTCCAGTTCCAGGGAATCCGATGCCCTCTTCTGACCTCCAAGGACATTTCACAACATGGGTGCACTTAAATGCATGCAGACAATACACACATACAATAAAATAAAATAAAAATGTTTAAAAGGAAAAAAAGAAAAAGATGTCCTGGCTCTTAGCTGAAAAGAGACTTGTTTTAAAAAGTTTTTGAACCTCTGGCTGACTAGATTTACCAGAAGGGCAGACAGGGGGGAATGGATGAGGGTGCTGACAACACAGTGGACAGTGACAGGGATCCATATCCCCTGACCATTGCTGAGCTGTGTTTACATTTTAGCTTTTACTGAGCCTTACAACAAATCAATTTGGGATAAAGATACAGCCAAGGTTTCATATGATCACTACAGCCTTGATAATTATTTTTCTTCACTGCTGACTAGATTTACCAGAAGGGCAGACAGGGGGGAATGGATGAGGGTGCTGACAACACAGTGGACAGTGACAGGGATGGCTGAGTATGGAGCCTCTAGTGGGAGAGGAAGGCTGTCTATCTGACGAGTTTGTATTCATGCTCAGATGCCGAGGAGCTCAGAAGGTGGGCGACTGTGACCAGTGATAGTCATGTATATAGAGATTAGAAATGCATGTGAAAACGTCTCAATGTCAATTGCTTTGGAATGAATTCTTCTGTATGAAAAAAAAAAGTTGTGCTGTAAAGTATTCCTTGAGAAATGTTTATAATTCTATGAGAATGTAAATAGTTTCACAGTAATTGTTTTTCAGTTAGAATATTCTAACTTAATTGCAGCGCAGTCTCTTTAAAAAAAAGTTTTTGAAAGATATGTACATTCTTGATTTGTATCAGATAACAGGCTTATTTAACTTTAAGAAAATGTATATATAAAAGATACAGAAGAAGGATAATTTCATGCTTGCTGAAGAAAAATACTCTAAGAAAACGGAGGGGAAAAGTCTATTCCTTTTGATGAGATTACTGCAGGACCTAGCTGCCACTTTAGCCCAGCCTTCTTGACTTTTGGGATAGGACATGCCAAACTGATCTTGAAGGAACTTTCCAGGGTAAAAATCCAAATCCTTAAGAACCAGAAAGGTTACTCTAAAGGTATAGGGAGACCACGGGGATTAGTGGGAATGTTAGAAAATTGCATAGCCAGTACAAAATCATTCAGATTTACAGTTAAACAATAAACAAGCAATGGAGCTGGAGAGATAGCTCAACAGTTAAGAGTACCGGTTGCTTTGTAGAGGACCCCGGTTCAGTTCCAAGCACCCACAAGGCAACTAACAACTGTCATCAACTCCAGCTCCAAGGAATCCCACACTTCTAGCCTCTGTGGGCATTACATATTCATGGTACTCTTACATATGTGCAGGAAAAAACACTCATACACATAAAATAAATAAAACAACCAGCAAACTACTTAACAAGACAGAAGTGCTTTCTGTGGGAATGAGACAGGAAAGAAAGACAGGGAGATTATGGTGATGAGAGAGAAAAGACCCTATCATCTTGGAGTCTAATTAAAGCCCCTTGCCAGCTGACAAGAATCCCAGCACAATTAACAACGTTTTCTGTAAAGGCTGCTGACTTATTAATAGAATTAATGTTGCTTTTCTATATAGATATTTTATGTTAAAGTGGCAGTGATCTAGGCTTAAGAAAATGTATATATAACCCTAGGCAAGGATTCATTCCTTTCCCCAGATACTACCTGAAAATCTCAAACAAAACATAATTTTGTCTAAAGTAGATATCCTACCTTCCTATGTCTTTGTGGGCTACACGTTTACTTTATCCAGTGTAATTCTGTCAGGCACCCTTCCAGAACCACCTAGTGATAATAGCTTCAAATTCCACCAAAATCTCATAAAAATAATGAACTCTGTTTTGATTTGAGAACCCCACATCCATGCTCTCCAGTGTGCCTCAGTTCCTTCCAAGTGCCTCTTCTTCTCCTAAACCTCATGCATAAGACTTTATTAAATATCTTTAACAAAACTTCCAACTCTGGTTTACTCTCCTGGCTATCCCTAAAATTCCTCTCAGTATTGAAATCATGAATTCTGATTTGATTTGAGTCAAAGTCACTAAAACTCTGGGGGAAACTCTTCAGGTTACTGAGAATGACAGTGAGGAGCTGTACCTCCATTAACTGTACCCCTAAATGCTGACAGGAAGACCTCTAATTTGTTCACCCAATTAGAACATGGGGTAGCTGAAGAGCACAGAAGATGATGCCAATAAGCCTCATCTCAAATTTCAGTTCTATCTCTCTCCAGTTGTCTGCTTTGTAGAAATAATCTAGCATCTCCAAACTCTGCTTCCCCGTCTTTAAAAGGGAGTAACTAAAGCTCTCTAAATTTTGTTTAAATGATTGAATGAAGTGAAAACTCCAAAATTATACATGTGTGTAAAACTCAATAAAAATGAGTGTCTTACTTCTAATACTCCTCCACACACACACTGGTAGGATGAGTGAATAAAATTATCATAATAGGCAAATAAACTTGGAAAATAAGATATAAATAAGCAACACTGGAATGCCAAAAGAAAAGAGATCAAATAGAAATAGGAAAATAAAATCAAGAGGTCAATGAAGAGATTTGAAAGGGAGCATCTTACAAAATTTCTTGTAGAACTGGGAGAGAAATGCAACTCTCTACCCAAGAGCCTTGTTCTTTATCTCTGATCACACAGCTTCAAAGAAAACATGTGGAGCAGTGAAAGAAAAATCATTAAATAACTTCAAGAACATAAAGTCTATGAGATGATGACACTGACAAAATAGGCTAGAGACAGATCATGAGGAAAATCTAGCACAGAAATATGCATTTAATTCCATATGCAAATGGAAGTTTATTTATCTCATACTAAAGACCTGTATAGATAGATGGTTTGGGTCTGATAAGCAGGCCCTACCTACCAGGAACCCATGTTCTTCCCTCTTTCAGTCCTATGTTTGCCCCCATTCCTGGAGTGTGTCCTTTATAATCATCATCCAATAATGGCTAAGATACTTCTTGGGTTTTTTGGGAAGGTGTGTGTGTGTCTGTGTCTGTGTGTCTTTCTGTATACACATTCATGTGTGTGAATGAGGGAAGGTATGCCACAGTTCATGTGGAGGTCAGATGACAACCTCTTGTTTGAAACAGGGTCACTTTTTAAGTTTATAAAAATATGGTGCACACCTTGAATTCCAGCACTCAGGAGGCAAAGTCAGGTGGATCTCTGTGACATAGAGGCCAGCCTGGTCCACATAGTGAGTTCCAGGGTATCTGGGGATACACGAAGACCATGTCTCAAAAAAGACCAAAAATAATATTTTCGACAGTGAACATATTCATTCCCATTACCCTCTCTTCTTCTCCTCTTACTCCTGAAGATTCCTTCCTTCCCAATTAGTCCCGAAGGTACTTTCATGTCCTATTTTTGTATTCTGCATGATCATGATTACAATGGCCATGTCATATCACAAGACAGTGTTCCACAGCACTCTACCCTGTCCACCATCTCTTTAAATCTTTCAGCCCTCTGGGCCTTGGAGGGAGTGATATAGATGGCCCATTTAAGTCTGAGCACTCAACAGTCACTTATTCCCAGTTCTTTGACCATTATGAGTCTAACCATGCATTAACCATTGCCCACTGAAGAAAAACTTCTTTGACCAAGACCTCAATGTGAAACTTGAAGCTCTGAAACTGTTAGAAGAAAGCATTGGCAGTAACTTACAAGACATAGGTGTAGGAAAGCATTTTAATTACATGTCTATTTATTATTATTTTATGTGTATGAGTGTTTTGCCTGCATGTATGTAAGCGCACCTGTGTCTTTTAATGCCTGAAAAGGCCAGAAAATGGCGTTGGAGCCCCTGGAATTGGAAATATGGACAGTTCTGAGCTGCCATGTGGGTGCTGGGAAGCAAACCTAGGTCCTCTGCAGGAGCAGCCAGTGCTCTTAACCACTGCATATGTACACTCTATTTATAAGCAATCTAATTCATTCCTCTGGCAGTAAATGCTATTTTTTATATTTTATTTATTATCTTTTATTTTATATATATAATAAGTGTATTGCACCCTTGTCATGTAATGCCCGTGGAGGTCAGAAGAGGGCATCAGATCCTCCTGGAATAGTAGTTAAGGATGTTAGCTGCCACGTGGATCCTGGGAATTGAACCCAGGTCCTCTGCAAGAGGTTCTTAACCACTGAACCATCTCTCCAGCCCAAGTAAACGCTATTAATATCCAGGCCCCTATGTCTCTTCACTAAACATCAGTACTGTGTAACCCACTGCCTACCTGACAGCTCAAATTTTAGATACTTAATATATATA